AAGGGAAATGAGATTGGAAAGGGAGTCTGGAGTGTGATCACAGAGAATCTTGCAAAGCAAAATGCTGGTACTGAAAAGCAAAGTAGAATTTTACAAAGGCATCCAGTTCAGCCCACAGCTCCACCTCTTCCTAGGCCCTCTCTGCACCACCCCACCAAGCAGCTCTGCTACAAGAGAGCAGGAGATCAAGATACAGGAGGTTCATCCTTATTTTGGCATGGTGCTAGCAAAACATCATCTGAAGTCCTTCGAAGGCAACCAGCAGGCCAGGGACCACTGATAAGAACAAACTTGCAGTTTCTTAACTACAGCCCACCCCCACCCCTTCCTACCTAAGTCTCCGGGGCTTGGAAAGCTTAAACCTGTTCATTGTAAGCCACAAGGTGGAGATGTCTGGCAGGGCAGAACTGAGAGGAAGTCGTTTAGCCAGCCTAAGGTTACCATTAACACTTTGAGCCACTGCCTTGAGCTAATTTTTATGTTTGTTTTTTAAGTTTGGTTGAAATGTCACAAATGGAAAAATTAAGTAAAGCGCCCCGGTTAGCCACAAGACTGGACACACCTGGCTGCAAACCCAGCAAAAGAAACTTACTTCATTAGTAGGAGAGGCAGAAAGTGAAATTTACATCTGAAATCTGCCTGCACCAGGAGAAAGAGCTGAGGCCAAAGGCGCTGTCTGTTTTTACAGCTGTGTCAAGTCTTAGTTCTCTACTCTTACCAACACTCAGGAGTGAGGCAAGGGCCCAAGGAAAAATGGTCTCCAACCTCTTCAGCTGCAACTCAGCTCACAAAGGTTTTTAAGAACCAGTTAAGGAAATAAAACAAGACCAGATGAGGTGATATAATGAACTTTATTTCCACAGCTAATTTATATGTTTAAATCCTAAATAATGTTTTTTTAAAAAGTCAGAACACTCTAAATTATTGATGTGATTTTTGTAACCTCAAAATTAACACTCGCTTTATACCAGCTTCACTGAAGATATATGAGTCTGCCTTGTTTTTCACAATAGTTGGGCTCCTAAAAAGCTGGTAAAAAGCAACTTTTTGTAAAATGAAAAATTTCCCACCAAACGAGACTGGAATTCTAATTTCAAAGTTCTTGATTTGAATTTCTGATTCGTCATTAATTCATAAGTGGCTCTATTAGTTCTCAATGTTCCCCATACCAATCCACTCAAGTAAAGTAATGGCCTCTAAGAATTCTTTGGCACAAGAAAAATCACTACTACATTGATCAGTCTTATAAATTCTTATGTGAGTTTTCTTAAAGATGTACACCTGGGATGCCAAATAACACAGATAGATTTGCAAATTACCACCTTCAAATCAGAGGTTGTCAAAGCTGAAAAGAAACTTGGAAATCATGTAGCCCACCTCCGTGCTTTGTTTTTCTGTTTTTTTTTTAATGAAAATACTGAAGCACAGAGGAGGAAAGACTTGTTAGCCAGAGTCAGAAACAGGCCAGACTGGCTCCCGATTGCCTCCTACTCCCTAAGTCTCCAGCCACATGCCCCTAACTTTCGCTTTGCTTTGGGTTATACACACAGAGAAGACTGAAATCTCCATGACATACACACACAATCACACTCACAACTTATAAGTGTTGAATATATCATTTTCTTGCCTGTATAAAGGGTGTCTGCTTATACCATGAGGCTGAAAAGGGGGGATAAAATCAATTATAATAGAAAAGCAATAACAGTAATTCCTCAGCCCTTCCAAATCTCTTATGTTTAAATCATCTTTTATTTATAGTCTTTGTAACGAAACTGGAGCTTGGCATTTCCCTTCATGAAGGTGAACTGAAGGATCTGCTTGGGGAGAGCATTATGGGTCATCTAAAACCTTGTATTCAAAGTGTAGTTGCCCCTTCCCTACCCTGCCCTACCAGGGGCACTGGCATCACCTGAAGCTTTATATAAATGTACTCTCTGGTCCCACCCCAAACCTACTGAATCAGAATCTGTATTTTAACAAGGCCCCCAGGTGAACTACAGGCACATTGAAGTTTGAGAAACAGTGATCTAACACACTTCTCTACAGGGCAGCATCATATTTAAAACACTTCAGATTTTTTTAAATGGCTGAATAAAATGAAAGGATTAAAAAAAAAAAAGGAAAGACTAATTAATTCTTACAGGAGTGCACAGATGTACACTTGGGGCAGAAACTAATACATCAAGTATGATTTACCTGATAAATAAGTGGGCTTTAAAACAGAATTTCAGAAGCTGAAGTTCAATTTATTCACCCAATGTTCACTGTGTAAGCAAAAAAACGGGGGATAAAACAGGTCTCCTGCCTTTATAAAGCATCCCATCAAGCAGAAGGGACATTAAAAAGTGACACAGGAGAGCCGGCCGAGTGGCGCGTTGGTTAAGAGCTGGCTTGGGACGCCAAAGGTCCCTGGTTCGGATCCCACATATGAGGGCCAGTGACACTCTGCCCTCTACAGCTAAGATGCTGAACAACAACTCAACCTGGAGCTGGGCTGCCCTGAGTCGCCAGCGACGGCGTAGGCTGCAGCCTCTGCTGCAGTGGGTTGCCCAGGGCTACCATGTGTAGCCAGCAGCCAGCGTGAGTGGCCAGCAGCTGCCGTGAGCCGCTGTCCAGAAGCCAGCGAGTGATCTGCCTCACCCGGGAAGAGCGCAATGATGGTACCAACTTGGGCCAGTGAAGCAACATCCTCCACAACTAGACTGAAGAACAAAAAAGAACAGCAACTTGTCTGTTTCCAATTCCCCAATAAAAATCTTACCAAAAAAAAAAAAAAGTGACATAGGAGAAGGCTCAAAGTGTTCACTATTGTGCTGGAGATATATATGGAAGTCCAAAAGGAAATTCATGGAGGAGGGGCAATTAAAAGGTTTTCCTGTGGTCCAAAAGTCACCTATGGCTCATTAAGCTATTCAGGTTGGGGGCAGCTATGGCCCACATGGCTCTAGTGGTCCAGCTGCCAGCACAGCTTAGTCAACAGTGATAATAAAAAAGGCTAACTAATAGAAGACCTACTATGTAACCGCATGGCAGTCAACCAAGGCTTTGGCTGGCCAGGGGGTATCACTGGTCATCATTAAATGGGATGATCTTAGACTGCCAGCACCACCCTACGTCTACTGCGTGCTGCCAAAGAGTTGGGCAGTAAGCACTTGAGAGCATGTGGAACACTCAGCTGGATGAATAGCTTAAGGCTGCTGATCCCACTCTGGGCAGCTAAGACAGCAGAAAGGCCTGGCAGTAAGAAAGAAAAGAAACCAAAGAGTACAATTACAAAGACAGCTGAATACTGACTCTAAAACAGATGATGATGATGACAATGACGATGGCGACAGCAGCTAAAACTGTGACATATGCTATCATCTTCTTAGACTGAACCGATATGCCAATGGTCTGTTGTCCCAGAGAAATGCATATAAATGCCAATAAAGTATTCTAAAGGCGGACCCATGTCCACTGTGCTTCCTATACATGCAGATCCCCTAAAGACATGAGAATTTGAAAATACATTCAACCCACTCTCGGTATGCAACCATCATTTCCATAACTTAGTCTCAAAGACTATAATTTTACACACATAGTAAGCACATGATACCATTAGACAATAACATAGGAGTATATGAAAATAATTTCAATAACTAAAAGTAAAACATGGGTGATTTCTTCCACTTCACTCCCATGCAGCATGGAAAATCTCCAAGACATTATTGAGTGAAAACAATGAAAGCTGCATGTAAATACATAGAGGATGATATCATATATAATAAAATATATACACCCAAAACCAATACTACAAATTTTTTATGGATAACACAGGAAGAAATCTTAAAAGATAAATAGCAAAGCAGGAACAGTGATTACTTCTTGAAAGGAGGTAATTGTCCAGGATTGAGATTGATGATTATAGGAATTTCAGTCTTAGTTAAAACATTTTGAATTTTAAAAATAACTCCAAAAAAGCAAAAACATATCAATATATATTAAGTTAAAAAAGCCAAGACATCAAACAGTATGTATAGTATAAGCCCACTTGTATTATGTTAAAAGAATTAGTTATACATTTGTATTTGTAGAGAAAACAACTAGAAAGGTACACATCAACTCTTAACAATGCTTACTTCCAGGAAGCTGGACTAGGGGAAAGACACATGTTTTTTACATGAAAGGCTTTTTACTATTTGATTTTTATTCTATGAACATGTATGATTTTTGTAACAAATCTATAATCCTTGTTTACTTCTCAGTCTACAGAAAGAACTTGCTCTGTAATGAAAGAAGCCAAATTAACCCATTTTGTGACCCGGTCTGATGGTTCTGCTTTGGATGCTCCCGAGCTGGGAGGCAACAAAATGGGAAAAAATAAGGAACTACAATCTATTAAAACATGGTCAAGACATATAAAATACACAAAATATACAAAGGGAGAAAGTATTTATATAACCGACTGTATTCTAATGTTTTGGTTTCATTTTTCTATTATCATATCCTGTTATACATATTCTTTCTCGTGTTAATTATTAAGTGTACTAATGTACATTTTCGGAAGGTTCTTTGCCAAAAGTATTCTAGGTTGTTAGTGATCAAGGAGCTTGTTTTTCAGTTCCTGAGGACAGAGCAGGCCCCATGCCAGGGTCTTTTCATTCAACCTAAATTAGAGGAGGACTGGTTCAAACACTGAATCAGCATCAACAGCAGTGTCCTTAAACTGGATTATTATTTGATTTCCTCCATTCACCAAATTCATCCCGATCACCATGCTTAGTCATCCCCTCTCCACACACAGGATGTCCTCACACTTGTCAGTGTGTGCAAACATGTAAATAAAGTGTCTGCGGCATGTCCGTCTCCATAGAGGCAGAAGTGACTCTCGCTGAATTACCATTTGGCATGAGGCAGCATTTCACAGAAATCTAGAAGTAAGGCCATTCTAGAACAGATAAAACTTCAACTTGATCCCTCATTGTAGTTTCCAGGACCAGAATCAGACAGCACTCACTTACCCCCATGACTCTGCCACGCTGTTCAACATCCTCCCACATAAAATGAACTATGACGCGACACATGTATTTCCCACTCCGGCCTTCCTGCTTCATTCGGACTAGACACATCCTGGGTGGGAAGAAGATGTAAAGAGTCACTGGCTGTTTGCATTTTTCACATCACACATTTCCACTCATCTGAGTGAATTCAGCAAAGAGCAGAGAATCAAAAAACCGGAAATGATTTTTGTTTTGTTTTTTTGTTTTTAGCTGAGCCATCCTGCTACCTGTTGGCAGCTCAGCGGCTGCTCAGCTCAGGCTGGACTCGAACCTCTGTTGCTCAGAGCTCAAACTTTTGAGCGAGCTCTTAACCAACTGAGCTACTCAGCCGGCCCGGAAATGATTTTTAAAAAGCTTTCATTGAGATATAACACAGATGCCATAAAGTACATAAATCGTAAGTGTACAACTTGATGAATTTTTACATATTACATACACCTAAGTAATCACCACCCAGGCTCAAGATATAAATTATTTAGAGCGCCTCAGAGTGCTCCCTCACACATGGAAGGGACCACTTCTGGTTGCAGAAGATAAGGAAGTCTGAATCCTTCATTTTACTGATGACAACAGGAATCCTACAGAAGGAAAGTAATCTGCCCAACACAGAGTAGTCTGTAAAGGTGGGTAAAATACTGAGGTGTCCAATATGGAAGCCACTAGCTACATGTAGCTATTTGAGCACTTTAAATATGGCAAGTTCAAATTGAGATGCAGTATAAGTTTAAGATTTCAAAGACATAGTTCAAGAAAAAGAATAAAAATATCTCAAATTGTTTATACTGATTACATGTTGAATATTATCAGATATATTGAGTTAAATAAAACCTATTATTAAAATTAAGTTTTTTGGTCTTTTTTACTTTTTTTAATGGAAGTTCTAGAAACTTTTAAATTAAATATGTGGCTTGTATTATATTTCTGTCAGACAGCACTTGTCCAGAACATAAATCACAGAAAGCATTATGATTTAATCTGTGAAATTATCAAATTGTTTCCCCCATTAGAATGTAGGCTCCACTGAAGGCAAAGAACAAGTCTGGTTTTTTATTATCGCTGTTATTTCCAGAGTTTAAGTATAGTAAGCACTAGATATATATGTGCTAAATAAATAAATGAATAAAACATCTCAGGGACAAGTTCAAGGCTCTTTCCCCTATACCACATTGCCTTTAATCAGTCCAGAGGGCTCTCTCTGCTTAAGACCTTACACAAGAATATAAGAATTATATTTTATTAATTAATAAGTACAATATTATATTTAGTGATATATAAGAATATAAACAGCGTCATCAACTTTCCAAGCTAGTTCCTAATCTCATTCTCATGACCATAACTTATTTCTATTATCTCTCTTAGTTACTCAACAGCTACAAACAGACTAATCACCTAAAAGACAATTCCTGCTATAATTACGGAATATTCAGTCCAAACCAACACTTCTATCTCCATACACAATTAATCCTGCCCATTACAATCTACTAGCAATAGCATGGTACAATGGAATGATTCCAGCCTGGCTTGCCTCAACATCTCTGTTAGTAGCTAAGATGGAGAAAAGAAAACATACTTATCAAATTTGCAGATGACAAGAAGTTGGGCAAGAAGACAAATATGCTGGATGACCCAACCATGAACCAAAAATATTTCAACAGGCTGTTTCAACGGGCTGAATCTAACAGAATGAATTTGAACAGGAATAAATCTAAGGTCCTGCACTTCGGCCTAAAAGAACCACTTATAGAGGTACAGGATAGGTGAGTCATGCCTACCTATGTGTGAAAAAGCCTTACAGGCTTTTTAGGTTGATCGTATATGTTTAGAGGGAGTCAAGAGGATGATGAGGGTGCCCCCAAATCAACATGGTTTTAGATACAGTAATGGAGATACAATACCTTCAATGTGCAAAGTAAGGTTTTCTTTCTACTCGGCACAGATCAGACTCTACTTGGAATACTGTTCATAGTTTTGAACATTATGTTTTAAGAAACAAGGAAGAAAAAAAAAAAAGAAACAAGGAAGAGAAGAAACATCAGAAGATATTTAACCTAGAGAAAAGCAGGAGGGTTGCCTTAAATGTTGTAGGAAAATGATTAGGCTGTCTAAGAATTTAGAATTAGAACCAATGAGTGAGCCACAGAAAATGAAAGAATTACTCACTACTGAATATTGAAAGCAAAACCTTCTAACAGGGGAGTTTCTGAAGATTCAAATGCTGGAGTGGATAACCTCAAAAAGTAGAAGACTATCTATTTCTGAAAGGTGAATAAATGTTGGGTAGGAACTCAGCTATCTGACAGAAGGTTGACAACCTCATCTCTTAACATTCCTTCCAACCTCGGAGCTGCTGATGCTGTGATTCTAAATGTGTAACCTCTGAACCCAGTTAGTGCCTAAGAAACACCACTTTGTGTCAATAAAAACAGGTCAGGGAAAAATATTTGGCCACTTTCTATGATATAGAGCATATTCCAAGGCAGAAACAAATGGGGGAAAGTTCAACAGTCCTATTTCATAAGATTTTTCTTACAGGTAATCAAATCCCTCATGTCAGCCTCTCACGTGAAAAGAACTGTGTGTACTGATGCTTAAGTGTCGTCAGAGGCCAATTCATCAAAAGCAATAGTGAGGTAATGGAATTCTCCATTTATTTGAAAATTCTGTAGTTTGTTAATACACCTGCCCTCTGAGGTTTAAAAGGCACAGATTTTCTCAGGGCATAAACTTATTAACTATATCAATATGGGGTGAAGTATTTTTTGTTTCATAGCTGTTTGTTCTGTAGCCCTTAACAGATAAGGGTAAGCTCAAATGGTCATCTGGATTGAAAAGAGAAGCAAATTGAAGACACTTTCAAGATGCTGACTGACAATTCACTCAGTGAACATAAATTGAGCTCCTGCTGTGTGAGGGAATATATATGGTTGGATGCTGTGGGGTTTAGAGTGACGGTTAAAGAGTCCAGCTTCCAAGGAACAGTTAGTCTCCTAAGGGAGACAAAATACACCATATACAAATAGCCCTAAAAGAGAATGCGGTAAGTGTCTCAGGAGAAGCACAAAGTGCAGTGGAGTCTGAGAGGATTACTTTTGGCTGAGTGGGATCAGAGAAAGCTTCATGGAAATGAAACTTTATACCTGGGGCTTGGAAAGATGAGCTGGACAGGTAGGGACGAAAGATAAAGAGAATTCCCAGCAGATGGAACATTATGAGCAGAGGCAGGGCGATGGAAGAGCTCAGCACATGTTACAGGAATAACGAATCCTAGATTTTGTGGGAGGGCAGGTATAGGAAACAGAAATATATGCCACAGAGGTCACAAAGGGCTTTGAAGTGTCATGCTAAAGAAGTCTGGACTTTACTTAGTAGACAATGGAAGCCACTGAATCGTTTTCAGGAAGAAGGGGTATAACAAGATTAGAACTTTGGCATTGACAGCAGTTGAGTCTCTGAGAAGTTAAACGTCATCAGGACTGAAAAATGACAAGTTTGGTGAATATTTACTTAGTAGAACTACAGTATTTGGTATAGTCTGATTCAGAAATATAAACTAAAGTGTGCACCTGCCTTTTGAGAGATACACAACCAGCAAAGCTTATTATAACCTGCACCTATTTTTGCGGATACCAACAGTTGAGAAAATATGGATTCAAGGCTGCTAAGTGAAAGGAGGGCAAATTCTAATTACTCCTAAAACACTGTACCTAATTAGTTCAATAGACAATTGATGCAAAACACTTTCAACTATAAAGCTCTATAGCAAATTTCATCACATGGCTATGGTTACAAAATCAAAACAAAAAAATCAGTCTTCTCATCAACAAGAAGTATAATGATGATTCTCCCATGAGTTTGACAGGGAAAATAAGATTCTGATCTACAGGGCTGTCCACTCACCGGCAGGCACCATGTTCAAACTAAAAGCTCCACTAATTTTTACCCTGAGTTTGTGAATCAAATTCTCTAGGTAATTAAGGACAGAAAGTAGTCCCGTTGTGAAGAACTTTTGTGTTTGTCCTCTTCAAGGTAAAAGAACAGAAGGCGGGGACCTACATCCAGACAGCTGCTTGGAATGTCCAGGCAGAGCAGCCGAAGGTCAATTCTTAGGCCACCTGTCCTTGAAGCCTACACATTCAGTCTACTCCTTTCTCTATTTAATAACTGTTTTGAATAGGTAATACATGCACATGGTAATAAAAACTAAGTCTCCTGACTGCCCACTTTCCCCAGCCAGCCTGTTCCTCTCCCTAAGGCAACTGCAGTTAGTAGTTTCTTACGAATCCTTCCACATATAATCCACAAATTACTATGGGTATGTGTTCTTTCTACAAAAATGGTAGCCTCCTTTTCCCCTATTTTTCACAATGGAAGTCTCCTACACACACTGTTCTTACATTGAGAAAATACTGAATCTGCTACAAGAGGATGTAAGTGAAGCAACTGCAACTCCAACTCTGGATACCACAGTCACCCAGTAAAACTTTTTTTAAGTGCCAGAGATAACAGATTTCCACCAATTTACACAGCAATTGTTAGGGTAACATCCGATCTAGGCTGAATTGAGCTTATCTGGCAATTTTCTCTATTCTAAAAATGACTAAGAAATAGGAAGAAAAAAATCCTTACTAGCAAAAATGAACAAGTGCTATAATTAACAGCTAACACAACTATGTGCCAGGCACTGTGCTATGATTTTGGAGCAGTATTTCATTTAATCCTTACAACAGCTCTACGAGGCTAGTATTCTTACTCTCCCATCTTACATATGAGGAAACTGAGTCTTAGAGAAGTAACCTGCCAAGAGTTACAAGGCTAGTAAATGTCAAAGGAGATCTGAACCCTGATATTCTGATCCCAGAGTCATACTGTTTCTCTGCCTCCTTTAATGACTAATAGAAACCTTCTAGAATCTATTAATTCTGTTTTTCATTTAATCCTCACAAGGGCAGAATTTAAGTTTCAAACCTAGCATCACATGAGAAATAGCATATCAGAAGGGAAAAGACTGGCTAACTTGCGGCTACAACAACAAAAAGTACTTCTGGCAGCCTAACAACAAAGGAAGAAACT